ACTTTGCATCATACTTGACAGACAAGGATTGAAAGAATTACAGTGGAAATGTAATATATAGAGGCAGCTGGCTCAGCCTGGAAATATTTGTATGCCTGTGTGTGTGCCTGTGTGTGTGAGTGCATGCATATATGTGTATGTGTATAGCTGGCTGAATGTGAAAGCAGGTTGCAAATGAGAAAGAGTATTGTGGACCAAGCAGGTAGCCCATGCAAATAAATGTAAGATGTAAGCCAGTCAGGTTTGTCTATGGAAGGTGAAGGATTCCATAAACTTGTGTAGGGGGATTTGTGGATATAAAGTTTTGAGTAGTAGAGAGATCAGTGCCAAACCTTTACAGAGACAAAAAGTTCATTACTACTGCTCAATAATAATTTTGATTTCCCATGTATTGACTTGCAAGACATGATGTCAATAAAAGTTCCTTCCATGGTATTGTTATATACTTGGGTATATGTGGGAAGAGGATACACAAGTCTTCACCAAGATTATGCTCTTTCCTTATCAAGTATTTTTAAATGGAGATTTACAAAAGAAAAATAAGATATGAAGCTTTCATTCAGATACAAGTCCTCTTATTTTTGACTATTGTTATGTTTACCATCTTGCATCAAGTCTAGATTCCGTTTCTGTTTTTGTTTTTGTTTTGTAATTTTATGACATGACTCAGGAGTTTGCTCTGTAGAAACTGCTAGCCCATGTCCTTTGCCATGGATAAAGTTAGAGACTAATCTTAGGAGCCCATGTCAAATTTCCACAGATGCTTATACTCATTGCCTAAACAAATACATTGGAATGAGTTTTATTATCTTGAAAGAAATCACTATTTAAAAGGCAGACAGAGTTCCAGATCCTGTTGTTTAGCTTTGTGATCTTAGGGAAATCGTTAAGCACTATTAAAATTTACTCATCTGTAAACTGGATCTGTAAAAGTCTACCCTCCTGAGCAGCCTTACAAAATTGTGTGTATGAAGTAAGAAATATAAAATTCATAACTGTTGGTAAGAATTAAAATTCTATTATGCTCTTTTTAAAATTATAATTCCTTTACAATTTTGGAGGACAGTCATCTAAGTAGTATACAAATAGAATAGCTAGTAGGCAATATCAGCATTGAAAGATAAGAATACATTAGAAATAGATGTGTCCTCATAATCATTTGATCCAACTTCTTCACACTAAGTGTCATCCAGGACACTAAGATTATCAGGACAAGTAAGTAACCTTTATAAGGTCACCAGCCAGAAAACAGCAAAGCTTTGATGAATGAAGGTAATCTCCCTTAGGAATTAAAATATTATTGACTTCAAATGAGCAGTTCAATATTTCTGTTGAGTAAATCACTATTGTCTTCTGTCCTTTTCAGTAACTAGATCCATCCCCTTCCTTCCTCTCTGATGAGGACAATTAGCACGGTTACCACCATATTTTAGCAGAGTTCTGGCTTACAAACATAAAATCTCTGGATCACCAACTAAAAGGTTCAGGAACATTTCAAGTGATACCACATTGTTTTATAAGAAAAGGACATTGAGAAACAGTGTTTCATTAAAATTTTACCACTGTAAAAATATCAATCTAGTTTGGAGATGGGAAGCTCTATGAAGAGAATGGAAAGGGAGTTCATTCCTATGGACAGTCAAAAATAAACTGATTCAACAATGGGGAAATATTTAGAACTGTTCCAAATGAGAATTGCATTGCTTTCTTCACTTCTGCTGATGGCAAATGCCACAAAAAGTATATACCAAATATTTCCCTGCTGAATAACATCAGCATGATCTTTGTTTATTTATAAACGTATTAGTTGGGCTTATAGAAAGGCTTCAGATAAAACAAGGTATAGTGCACCTTTTTATTTGAATATCCTTATGAGTACAATTAACATCCTCAAATATCTTAGATGAATTTCTGTAGCTGATGAAAAAGCTAGAATAAAAATTTTGATTCTCCTCTCAAAGCTATATTCTTATGAACATAATATGCAGCAACAAACTTAGATGAGTGAGCCCTGGAAGGTCAAGTAACCCAACGGGTGGTGGGCATTGCACATTTCAGCTGTGACTTAGCTAGAACTAGAACTACTTGTCTCTTCTAACTCTTAGTTTCACTTCAACCACCTATCAAGATACAACTCTGCTTCCTGTGTCAAAGGAGCTGATATTATATGTAAAATGGTTTTTCATTTAACATTAGCCTGTTACTTCTATATTTGAAATTAACTAATCCCCTCAGGGTAAGCCCAAAGGAAATGCAGCTATTTAATATCCTGAAATCTGAAATGAGGGAATTTCCAGACTTTTTTTTACTGGTAGGTAATTATGTTCTCCACACAGATTCATATCTATATCATAGCTGGCCCTTCTGACCTGACTTCATTTTAATCTTGTTTAATTAGAAACTTATAAAACCTATAGTTGAGTAAGCATTCAATTTTTTTCTTGCAGATAAATGCCCAAATTTTGGTCAAATTATAAAATAAGTAAACACATACACACATATATACACCTCACACAGCAAAAATGACAACAATAAATTGTTCCAAAAGGGATAAAAACAAAAGTTGGTTTTACATGAACAAAGTCCACAGGAACAACTATGTAGCACAGAACCAGTTGAGTAAATAATCCACTTCCAAGTGATATTTTATTTGAAAGAATAGAAAGAATAATCTTTAAAAATAATTTCTCCATATACACTTAAAAATGTCTATTTGAAAAGAAATTGGTATTCCTTAAAATATGCAAATAAATGGTAGATTATATATAGATAGTAAATCCAAGGCCTATATTTAATGAATAAAGAGTGTGAAAAATAGAAGTCTAAGGGAATTCTGAAATGTTAATGTATTTTTCTTAGAGGTTTTGCTTCATAGCTTCTGAAACCTCCAATATGTATGGAGTTCAGAAGTAATTTTCTGTTGCTATTCTATTGTTCACCGAATTAATACATTTTGTGCAGCATAATAAACATTTATCACTCTTCCTTAAGAACACTGACCCCAAAATATTTAGCAAGTAGTGTGATTCAATTGAAATGGTGATTGGAAATGAGGAAATTAAACTGCCACTGATGAAATACTGAAGCTCATTATCACGAAGTTTCATTTTAAGTGTTCAGAATTAGCTTTATAACTGCATCAGCAATGATAAGCATGAGTCTTAAATCCATGCCATTTAGATTTTATGAGCATTATTAAAACATATTAACCATAATTCAATTAATTCACAGAAAATGCTACTCTACAACTTTTTTTCTTGGCTCTCAAGAAAAAAGGTGCTACTTGAGGAAACCCAAACTATACTCCAGTGGCATTCATTCTATTTATCCTTATTCCTCAGTCCACCGTTGTGGATCTTCAAAGTGCTCACTCCATTTAGATAGATAAATGTGCTAAAGAGAAAACACACCACAGTAGTTTACAACCACACCTTTGCTTCATTAGGACAATACTGACCTCTAGTGTTCTAGAAGGTAGAGAAACTAGCTCAGCAACACACCTAAATTCTCTGGCAACCACTTAGATCTTTTTGTAAAGCAACCTGGGAATAATTTCACAGAAGGGAGAAAAAGAAGAAAAGGAGGGAGGGAAAGAGAAGGAGGCAAGAGGGATGAGGTATTAAAAAAAAATCAGACTCTAACTTGGTTCTATATATTCCCTGAATTAACTTCCAAACTAATTTCCTCCCTTTTAGCCCTATTCTAGAACACAAACTTTACTACAGTCTTTACAAGGCATACAAGTAATTATAGAGTGTGACCCTTCAAAACTTATGGTCACAGGAACACTGGTTCTGTTCTGGACCTTTTCCAGCACATGACGTGTGTCTAATGGTCTTCCTGGGAGGTTCCACTGTGGGAAGAGACACTCTGGGTTTCTGTGGACCTCAGGGACTGGCTGATGAGATAGAAGCAAGCCCAAGTAGTAAGCGGACCTTTCTCTGCCAATGATAACGCAGATTTTACAAACAAGACAATACTGTTTCAATATGTCTAACATTTCTGAGGTTCATGGCAGGGAGAGAGGATATGGGAGCAAGCCCAGAAATTTGGAGGGACCTTGATAAACCATCTCTGGAAATAACACAAATGGCTTAATTGCATTCTTCCTCATTTAGGAGTTCCCAGAGCTGGAAAACAAACAAACAACAACAACAACAAAACTTCCCTTCCTCTGTCTAGAGAGGCAGCTGATCAATTGAGCTTGAACCTCTGATAGCTCCAGCAATTTATTTAAGTTTGAAGAACTGGGTTCCTTAAATACCCAGTTCAGATGGCAGATCCCCGGGTGTCCAGCCTGCCTGCCTATTAAATGAAACGCCTGTCCCGCACTTGCCGTGGTTAGAGATCGGATGACAGACTGTGGATGTACACTTAGTGCATACTCATTATGTGTTCTTTGGCACTAAGATTTGGGGGCAGGGTGGGGTGTGCGTCAGAGTCCTTCCTCAAGGAATAGTGGCAGCCATTGATCTTGTGGTGGACTACACTGTTCATAACTCTGAGGCCGAAAGTCCCAGTCCTGTCAAACCGGTGCCCGCTGGTTGCAAGACACCCCGATTGAAGCCCTCTGCCGAAGGCGGTGCAGAAAGTGAGGTTCTGGGGCCGCAGGGCATGCTACACAAGCGAGACAGTCGCATTCAAAGGGAGCCACTATTCCTAGCTCGGTGTCTGGGAGCAGCACCTTGTCCCTGGAAGCGGCTCCCAGAGCTCAGTGTCAAATAGGGCCCCTTTTCTGCCAAAGCAGGGAGCTACCAGGCAGCACGGAGCGCGGAGCTAAGAGGCCAAGGGAACTTTGCGATTCCAGGAGGACGGGAATCCAGCAGGCCTGACTCAGGCGAGCTCTGGTAACTTTTGGGGTGGAGAGAGCGAAGAACTACGCTGATCTGCACCCCCCACCCCGGCCCGGAGCAGACGCAATTGAGTCCAGTTGAGTAGTTGACTGCCTTTCAGAAAGCCACGTTTTCCCACGTACCCACCACTCCGTTCCCGGTACTCACAATTGGTAGCTGTTAATCCTAAATGCCAGAAGCCGGAGAACAGCAAAGTCCAAACGCTGGGCAGCCTTGGTAGAGAATCCATTTCTGCCGAACGACGGGCCCGTCCAGTGGGATCCCAGAGCGGCAGCCCGGGCCGGCTCGTCCGCCTGTCCGTCTTCTCCGCCGCCCCCACCCGGCACAGCGCTGGCTCTCACTCCATCCCGCGCCCGCCGCTCCCCGGATCCCTGGCGGGGCTTCTCCCCCGAGCAGCCAGCTGCGGCTGAAGCCGCACACCCCAACCGGCTGGTTGCGCTCTCCCGCCTCGTCCGCCTCCCCTCGCCGCCTTCGCGGAGCAGATGTAAACCCAATTGCGACGACGAGCGCCGGGCTCCGAGCAGCGGCAGAGCCACCTGGCCGCGCGCGAGAACCGGACCCGCGCCGGGGCGGAGCCCCTTATAGGAGAGCAGGGCGCGCGGCACCGCCCCCGGCCCGCCCGCCCCGCGCGCGCCTATAAGAGCGGCCTGGGCGGGTCCGAGCCGGGTTCGGGAGCCGCTGCGGTGCGCGCCGGAGGGCCGGTTCCGCTCGGGCTCGGCTCGGGCTCGCCCGCCGCCCCCTTCCTCCCGTCCGCCCCCTCCCCCCGCCCCCCCCCGGCCCTCCTCTCTCCTCCCCTGTCGGAGTTGAGAGGCTGAAATTTAACCTGGGGCTTCCAAGAGCGCTGCAGGGGAGGCCAACTGGAGGTGGAAGAAGGGCTTTCCCCGCAGGATTCTGAGGGTTGCCTCCTCTCCCGCGCCGCGTGGTTTGATTTCTTTTGCGCGTCCGCTCCCGGCAGGGAAAGGTGCGGAGGGCGAGACAGGACCAGGTTCCGATTCTGCGGCTGCTCTCGCGACCCGCACTCCGTCCTCCGCTCTTCGGCCTTGTCCTGCTGAGGCGCAGGGGCCGCGGGGCCCGGGCAGCTGCCGCAGGGCCGGGCCGGGGCGCTGGGGTCTGAGCCCAGGTGGGTCCTGGGCATCGGAGACGGCGGCGAGGGGAAGGGACGGGGGCCAGGCGGAACCTTGCGGGGCGGGCACTTGAGTTGGGGAAGCGGAGGTCTCCTTTGGAGGGGCTTACATTTAAAAAGAAAGAGTGGTTTTAATTTCTTTCTAGAAACTGCCTATTTTGAAATCCTGGTTCTGCCTTTGGCATCTAGTATGCATCTGGGAGCGCTCTGGCTTTACCATAAATTAACTTCTGTTTTTACTGGACTCTGTCAGACAGCTGTCAAACCTTAACAAAACGAGGGACCATGATGATTTCTTCCGCGTGAAGCTTACAATTGTTAGGGTTGAAAGACCTACCCGCTTCAGAGGAAGTTGATGTCTCCCTCCCCTCCTTCTCCTCTCCTGCCCTCAGCATTAGCGATTACGCAGGTTATTTTACTAGATAGATTTCTGACAACCTGGTCTTCAAGCAGCACGCTTTACAATACTGCAGATAGAGCTGGATTTGGGGAGGTTCTGTAGAAATCCCAAGGTTAACATTGTGGTTTTGGTTAGAGCTGTTCTCACATCATTGAAATATTAAAAGATAGTTCCATGACAGCAGGATCAGTGACCCATTATTACAGAAGAAAGAATTCCGAAGGTCTTATCGGTTGTAAGTAAATCTCCCTGTTGTACGCTTCTAACTGAAAAGAATTGGGTCAGTTTGGAGATTCTCGGGGAAGCCTGCTCAAAAAGAAGCTCTAGTAGCGGGGGGCGGGGGGGGGGCGCACCCAGAGATGATGAATCACAAAAATCAAAGCTAAGGTGACCCAAGAACTTGCCCTGTTGGCAGGAGGCTGCAAAGAGGGGGAGGAGTAGTGGAACTCAAGTTCAGTTCTTTGAACTTGCTTTGAGTAACCGAGATTGAGACTCTGGCTGGGCTAGTTTACACATCCTAGAAAGTCTTGAAAAAATATGACGAGCATTTATTTGGCTTTATGTGCTCCAAGTGTGTGTTTAGATATTTCAAAAGAAAGAAAATATTGCAGTTATTACTTAAGTCCCTTTTGAGTTCTTGTCTCATAGTACTCATCTCTGGTCATATCTACAAGTAAAGCAACAACTTAGTATATGTCATTCATATACACTATGTTTTTATGCTTTTACTGTATTAGTTAGCTTTCCTGTTGCTGAAACACAATACCAAACACTGGAGATTTAAAGAAGGAAAAGTTGGGTAAGCTCAGGTTTTCAGTCTATGATTGTTAGGTTCCTCAGTAGAAGCATGAAGAAGAACCTGGAGGAGCAAAGCAGCTCGGGCCTCGGTGGTAAGGAAGCAGAGCAGGGGATAGGGCAAGAGAAAGGTGAGGTGCCCAAGGCCACCCCCGCACCCCAACCAGTCCCACCGGGAGAGCATTTTACTCATCTGCTAGGGGTTTCTAATCCAATGACATTGACGTATCAGGAATGACGGCCACAACACATATACTTACATCCCTAAACAATATATAGTATTGCATTCTCTTCAGGCAATACAGAAATGGTATCAGACTATTCATGTTGTTTTTTGCAATTTATGTAATGATAGTGTACAGAAATTTATACCTTAAATACATAAATTTCTAGTTCTTTTATCTTAACTGCTGTATGACATTTCATTGTATATGTAATAATGTACTTATTAATTCTGTTTATGATCTACAGATAATTTCAAGGACTTTTCTCTCCCTCAACTTAAATACAGTCTTATTCCTATGTCTTATTTTACCTCACATTTCTGACTAGGATTTCTGAATTGTGGGAAATACTTTACTTCAGTTTGGGGAAGCATTGCAGTTATTCTATTAAACAGTACCATGCCAATTCTTACCTCTCATTCTTCCCCTAGCAGCATGTGATATTCCCCTATTTGCACCTCTTTACCATTACTTCAGGACTTTTTATAAATAGGATATTGAAAGCCAGAGAACATAGGTCTTTCATAACTGAGTTTAAAGGTTCTGCAAATCATCACAGCTTCTACACCTACCCAAAGCCAAAAAGTCAGTTAAATAAAGTATTTCAAACAATTATAGAAGTTGATGACAGCATTTTCTGGCAGAATGACTTAATCATCTGTGCCAATAAAATGTGCTTAGAATATTTATTCAAAGGAATTCAGGGGAATTAGTTACCGAAAAGCCCCCTACTGTGAATTATCTTAAACTAGAAAATACTAGCCCACTCCTTCTAGGTGTTCCTATATAGAAAAATGTACACTAAATAAATTGCACCTAATTTAAAATCCTATTTAAGTTGTAGCTTTTTTTTTCTCTCTCTCTCTCAAACACACCTGTTCTCAGAGCAACTTTGAGCTTTAAACAGCAGATATTTGTCTAAGATTTGTTAACATTCTGTAAGAATACTGCAGCTCTGAATGAAGTGAGGGATAAACAGCTGTTCCTCACAGAAAATAGTATAAACAAGGCCATCTTCTGGGGGCATTTTGGCAACAAGGTTTTTTTTTATCAAAAGTAGAGTAATAATCACTATTAAAGCTGTCTTCATTCAGATTTATATTTACTATTGAAATTCTTCTATAAGGCTTTTGGCCTGATAAGTTCACATAGTAAAGGAAGAACTGACTAATCCCCTTTCTCCTCATGATGCTATGTAAGGAATAATTCTTATTTGTGGAATACCTTGTTTTGAAGAGGCTTAATTTTTCTGTATAGTTACAGTTGGTTGAATAGTATTAGGAAATGAGGAAAAATGTATCACTGAAATTCTAGAAGACTATATTTTTAAATAATAAGTTTGGGCATCTTCACAAGTCAAACTATTATCTAAAATCTTAGAAAAATAAAAAAAAATGAATGAAGTAATATTGTACTTCATTTTTTCTTTGATTTCCCCTTGAGGCTTTCACTTTTTTGACCTTAATGGAGGAAAAAATAAAGGAAACACTCATAAGTAGAATCTTAGCCTTTGAATATTCAACAAAGGGGTCACCTTATTGATTTGTAAGCCTTTTGTGAAGCATATACAAAGTATGTTTGATCATCTCCATTTTATTGATGGAATTCAAAGAGGAGACACATACTGACATGTTAAACATCATACAGAATTAATGACTTCAACCCACAGGGTACTGGAAATGACATGTTCCCCTTCTATTTCCTTTATCTTTATAGATCTTATAGATAAAAGCCACCATAACATATGGCTATTGGGATGTATGGGAGAAAAATCCACATGTGATCACCACTGGCTTCTCTGTTTTGAGTATCATTCTGGATCATTGTGACATCATATAATGTTTTGTTCTAATGATTGAAGGATAACTTCTGTTGCCACCCATATCTTCAAAAGAATTGGTTTCACCTAACTTTTGATATAGTGAAAAGTTAATTATTTTTCTTTTAATCTTCTTTTCCTTGTATTTTCATTATCTTTTTAAAAATATTTTGCTTTCCTTCTTAATAGTGTGTGCTCAGTAATATATCACAGGGTGTAAGAAAAAGAAACAAGAATTCCTGGTCTCCAAAGGATTTAGGGGCAATGTAAGCATGTGAAAACACCAAGAATAAACATTAGAGGTGATTATGTGCCAGATTTCCAGGACTGTAAGAGATATAACAGTTTTTCCGCTGACAAAGGTTGCTTCCCCTGGGAAGGAAAAGTTGCAGATAGCATCATGAGTCAATTCTTTGTCTCTCTAGGGGTAAAGGGATTGAGTCACCCTGAGCCATGAAGCTGGTATGTAGATCAGGTCCAGTCAGGTATATTTGCCTTGGAAGGGAGGTCAAATCTTACTATAAAGAAGACAAATTTTGACTTTTATGGAAGAATGGACATTTATATTAATGTCTATGGACTTCATCCACATGTTGAGAAAAACTGGCTAGAACCTCTCTCCTCTACTTCTTTCTTTTAATTCTAAATCAAATTCAATCTTCTCACCACAGTGCTCATCCTTGACATCAAAAACAGTCATCTACTTCATGCTAGTAAAATAACCATTTCCATGCCATGCACACATGACTCTCTGCTGGCAGCTACACCATGCTATTTACTCACAGTTCTCTTTCCTTTTCCTGTAGACTTCTCCTTTACACTGGTAGATTTTCAAGTCCAAAGTCAGCTAGGTATTTGTTGATTACTTGCTATGCTTCTGTTCATATGTTTCCTTGATTCTCAGTAATTTTTTAAGTATAGTTTTTTGATGAGTCTTTAACTTCGAGCCTTTAGCAAATGTAGTACGTTTTCAAGAAATGTGGATGTCTGAATAATGGTGCATAGGAAAAGACCTTGTTAGCTCTGTCAGAAGTGATATCTCTCCCCTATCCTCCTCCTTGCACCAGCTGCAGAGGGCTACCCTGTGGGAAGTTATCCTTATTAAATACACTGTGGAAAGTCAACATGTCAACTACATGAAAATGAATAGGAAGTTTTGGATAACATGTTGATAGTTCATTCTCCTATTCATATATTTCTCAAATATATGGTT